CATGGTTTAGCATATTATCGAAGAAAAATCTAAAATAGCCAGTACTTGCTGTTGAGAAAGAATAGAGTGGCATGCTACGTTGTACATCCGGTACAATGAAAGTAAGCAAATTGTGAATTGTTGTCAACGGACTTAACTGATGTGCTTGAATTAACGATGTAGAATAAGGGGAAAATATTCGGAATAAACCAAAAGGCGTATGTTGCATAGTAACTCCAAGCAATCTGATTTCTACGTTCAATTCCACATCTTCACCTATCCTTGTTCATTGTATGTAATTTCAGCAAAAAAATCAGTATCAAAGCAAAGGTGCAAGTGTCATTCTGTTTTTCGGCCTACTACTTACTTCTTTCATTTTGTCGGATTGAGAAAACGTCTACTAAACTCGCCGAGAGGTAAACTAATCAAGCGCGTATTCAGTGATTGTGATGCTTTCCCGCAGGTGTCTTTTTCATAAAAATATGTCAGCATTCTTCGAAACGCTGCTTCTAATCAAAAAACTAGTGCTATATGCCAGTTAAAGAACGTAACATCCAAGATTGTGTTTCATGTGCTATACATGACATTCCAGTCGGACAAAATAGTCTTCGTTGCCGTCCCAACTGAACTTCTCACTTTTCAAAAACCCTGCCATAATATTGTAGTGTTCAAGGAAAGTCTGTGTACAAGTGGAAAAGAGATTGATTGAACAAGAGGTAAGAAAATGATTCAAAATAATTGTAGCTATACCTTAATTACCGCTAGTGAAGAGTCAGATAGAGAAATACGTGTTTATTTCAATGGATACTTCTTCTCATAGACACTTTGTTAGATAAATGACCCGCCTACCTGCCCATCTGGAAGCTCTTCCTTACATCCGCTTGGCCCCCAGTAGCAGTGACGTCTCCATGTATCCATAACTTCCCATCCTAGATAGGAAACTATTAAGAGCAGGAGTACACTATTTTGAGCAAAGCAAATACTCCTCAACATCAGCACTTAGCGTTTGTCGGAAGATACAGACTTGACCTCCTATAGCGGTAATCTCAAAAACAAAAAAGAGAAAACGAAGTTGTCGACTTTCTAATAGTTTTCGTGGCGACTCTTCAAGTACCTCTGCTCTTGTAAACAACCCCCCGTTTTTATTGAACTTATCGGTCAGCTCATTTCAAGAGTTGGCGATGCAAGTTAAATGGTCCACATCCATAGCCGATAGACAAATAGCTGACTAACGGTTGAATAAAAATACACGACATCAAGATGCTGTTTAGCGAAACCGCAAAAGAGATTTGTCACAACTTTCAAACAACAAATCAAGCATGTCTAATTGTCAGGATGAAGACATGAGAAGCCATTAGAGAAGTCTCGTCACAAACACCGTACATGTAATGTGAAGACGTAGATTTTTACCACTTGCTGTGACACTTTGAGGACAAAAGTCAATTTTTCCCTACGCTAAAGGCCAAAGGAAGAAGACTAAAACATTTTCTTTTTTCTAGCATTAAATCATGCTGGGATAACATAAACTGAAAATTGCAAATTACCAGTTTTAAAAGGAATTGTGGAAATTACCTCTTATACATTACACTCAGTGTACTATTCGAATGATAAGTTTTTTTCTTGAGCTCTAGAATTTCATGAACTTCTACAGTACACTAGCGTGATACAGTGGCTCTCAACTATAAATAAGTGGAAGTGGAATACAGGCAGAGTTACTTATGTATCATCACTTCTTAACCTATACTTGCATACTTCTACAATAATTAGTTATTGGATTGATAAAATAATTGTCAGCCAAGAGAAGGCCAACCGACAACTCATTGTATAGAAC